TCATTCAGAATCTTGTACACCACATATGTAAGACCAATCCTGGAGTATGCAGCCCCAGCATGGAGCCCATACCTTGTCAAGCACAAGACGAAGCTGGAAAAAGTCCAAAGGTATGTCACTAGACTAGTCCCAGAACTAAGAGGCATGAGTTACGAGGAAAGGCTGCGGGAAATGCACCTTACGACACTGGAAGACAGAAGAGTAAGGGGAGACATGATCACAACCTACAAAATCCTCGGAGGAATCGACCGGGTAAACAAGGATAAACTATTCAACACTGGTGGGACGCGAACAAGGGGACACAGGTGGAAACTGAGTACCCACGTGAGCCACAGAGACGTTAGAAGGAACTTTTTAAGTGTCTGAGTAGTTAATGGATAGAATGCATTAGGCAGTGATGTGGTGGAGGCTGACTCCATACACAGTTTTAAATGTAGATATGATAGAGCCCAGTAGGCTCAGGAATCTGTACACCAGTTGATTAACAGTTGAGAGGTAGGACCAAAGAGCCAAAGCTCAACCCCCCAAGCACAAATAGGTGAGTACAACAGATGTCCTGGTGAACTTGGAGGTCTATGTTCGTACTGCTTTTGCTGCGAAGACCTCCGTTGTTGCCTCCTTTTTGACCTGGAAAAGGCTTACGACACTACCTAGCGGTATCATATTCTGTCTCAACTTCATTCTTTTGGCCTTCATGGGAATCTCCCTCTCATTCTCCAGAGCTTTCTCTCTCGTCGTTCCTTTCGTGTGCGGCTTGGTGCCACTCTCTCTGCCTCTTTTCAGCAGTATGAGGGTGTGCCCCAGGGTAGTGTTCTGAGCACTACTCTTTTTCTAGTTGCCCTCAACGGTCTCCTTTCCTCTCTTCCTTCTGGCGTCTTCTCCGCTCTCTGTGTTGATGATCTTACCCTTTGTTGTAAGGGTGATGATTTGCCTCTCCTTCAACGGCGGCTTCAACTTGCGATTGATGCCGTGTCGTCTTGGGCCACCAATCATGGCTTCAGGTTCTCTGCATCTAAGACTTGTGCTATGACTTTTACTCGAAAGCATGTCGTTCTTCGTCCCTCTTTGTCGCTTTATGGTCATCCCATTGTGTACAGGGATTCCGCTAAGCTTTTGGAGTTAGTCTTTGACACTCGTTTGTCTTTATCAGCCCATATCTCTTACCTCAGAGTTGAATTCTTTGAGGCCCTTAACCTACTTAAGGTTTTGTTCCATACTTCTTGGGGAGCGGATAGGTGCACGCTCCTTTATTTGCACTCCTCTCTCGTCCTGTCTAAACTCGATTATAGTTGCCCTGCATACTCTTCTGTTTCTCCTTCTACTTTTTGCCGTCTTGATGCTTTGCACCATACTGGGTTGCGTCTCAGCTCTGGTGCCTTTCGTTCGACCCTCAGTTTGTATGTTGGCACTGGCTTTCTCTCTCTTCAGGACCGCCGTGATCGCTACTGTCTTTGCTATCTTGCGCGGTCCTTACAACATCCTTCCTCTCGCCTCTGTCGTGCTTTAACTTTTCCTCCTCCTGTAGCCCCTGTTCCTCTTCATCGTCTCCCTCTCTGTGTCCGGTTATCTCTGTTACAGGATTCTCTTTCTGATCATATTTCTAATGTTTCTCCTCATATTGTTCCTTCCTTGTCTCCGTGGAGGCAAGTTTTGTACGTCCTTGACTTGTATTACTACAGCCTTTACCCCTCCTACTATTCTGAAAAGCCTCTTCCTTGAGCACTTTTCTTTGCACTCCCACTCTATTTCCATCTTCACCGATGGGTCTAAGTCTGCTGACGGTGTGGGCTACTCTGTTGTTTTTCCTGACCACACTTATATGTCGCCTACCTTCGGAGGCTAGCGTCTTTACAGCAGAACTTTATGCTATTCTCTATGCTCTCTGTCTCTTGCTTTCTCATTATCATTCCTCCTTTGTGGTTATGGTTGACTCTCGTAGTGCCCTCATGGCTCTAAAGTTCTTTAAACCTGTCCATCCGGTGGTTATCGAGATTCAACATTGGCTGTTTCTTATTTCTAGTAAATTTAAATCAGTAGAGTTTTGTTGGGTTCCCAGCCATATTGGTGTTTCTTTCAATGAGCGTGCAGATGCTGTCGCTAAGGAAGCTATCCGTTCTTGTCCCATCTCCCGTAAAGGTATTCCTTATTCCGACTTTTATCCTGTTATTCATTCCTCCATCCTTGCCCGCTGGCAGGGTTGTTGGTCCTCTGTAGTTAGTAACAAGCTGCGTACTCTCAAACGTAGTGTGTCCCCGTGGCCTTCCCCCTACCACCATAACCGGCGGTGGGAAACTGCTTTGGGAAGGCTTCGGGTTGGCCATACTCGCTTAACCCACGGTCACTTAATGGAGCGCCGCCCTGCTCCTTATTGTCCGAATTGCGTTGTCCTTCTTACAGTTGTGCATATCCTTGTTGAATGTCCTGACTTCCAGGACAAGCGTGTGTCTTACTTTCCGACCGTCCCCCGTGATCACTTGTCCCTCGATAGATTTATAGGTAAATTGGATACTTTTGATTTCGTTCGCCTTATGCGTTTTTGTTCTCGTATTGGCATTCTTGGTGATATTTAGCGCCCTCTGATTATTTCGCTCTTTGATGGTGCTACATAGCCTTCCCGGTTTGGTGCCTTCTTTTGATAATTACCTTACCTTACCTTGAAGAGGTGCAGATGGAGAAGGCTGAATAGAATATTGGAAAGGTTTTTAGTCTAGGACAGTACAACACGGACAGAGACCGATTGATAAAGGTGGTATTCACGAGTGAGAACACAAAAGAAGACCTGTTAGCAAGGAAGAGCACACTAGTAAATGTGCTGAAATTCAAAACGATATTCCTGCTGAGGGATATGACAAAAGAGAGAATGGGGGGGGGGGGGGGCAGCAGCCACTAGGGCGGAGCACAGGTTGAGAAAAAGAAATCAGGAAACCACAACCCTTCAATCCCATGGGGAAGTGGGGAACCCTCCAGCAGCCCCAGTGAGAGGAGCACTACCCTCATCTTCCACCCAATTGAAGTCTTACCTACCCAACCCCTGCTAGCCCCACTAAATGCCCACCTAGACCACCCTCCCCTTACTCCCCAAGACTTCCCTTCTCCCCACCCCCTAAGTCCTCCTATCTCCCCCACCCCCCTAAGTCCTCCTATCTCCCCCACCCCCCTAAGTCCTCCTATCTCCCCCACCCCCCTAAGTCCTCCCTTCTCGCAAATCCCCCTAAGCCCTCCCTTCTCCCTCAATCGCCTAAGCCTTCTGTGTTTCCCCTTCCACCCCAAGCCCTCCTCCTCTCCCACCCCCAAAGCCCCCTTTCCCCCCCCCCCCCCCAACATCTTCCCTCCTCTCCCCTCCCCCCCCCCAAGCCCTCCTTCCCTCCTTTACTCTGCACCTATTTGTATTTGTCTGCGCCTGACCTCCCTAATTGTTTAAATCCAATATGCCCTGTACTGTCCCACCACTTGAGAATGAACCACGTAGGGCCCGAAACATTGTGTAAATTTTATAATAAATGATATACATTCTACAGTTATTTATTTATTTTTCTTCACCTCGAACGAAGGTGACTTTTGGAGAAATCCTCTGCCAGTTAAATCAAGATGCAAGAGCACTAGTCACAGGGATAGAAGCCCTAAACAAGCAAATAAAACAGAATAATCTGTCATATTCAGTGAAACATATAATATGTAATTTTATATATTCCTGTTAGCAACCCTAACGTCGGCAACTGGCACGCGTCTCACACGTCACGCCATCCGAACTGCTGTGGCCCTCCGCCTTGCTGCTCCAATCCACACCAAATATAGGTGTATTTGTGGCGAGGTGGTGGCCGACGGGTACGGTCAACATGGCCTACTCTGCCAAAGCACAGGGGAATGGCACTCAAGGCACAGTGAAATTAACGATATCATCAGTAGGAGCCTCACCACAGCTGGATGCCCAGCTGAAAGAGAGCCCCGATACCTTACTCCCCGTAACTCTGATGCTTTTATTGGTCGCCCGGATGGTATCACAGTGAACACCTGGAAGAATGGCAAGCAGTTGGTATGGGACTACACGTGCGTATCAACCCTGCAAACACCTACATTGACTTGAGTGTTGCACAACCAGGTGGCGCTGCAACCCACAGAGAAGCAACCAAATCTCGTAAGTACAGAGAACTGGATCACCACTACAATTTTGTCCCCATTGCTTCTGAGACACTCAGCGTTTGGGGTAAGAGTGCTACCAGTTTTTTTAAGGAACTGTGGTTATAGGCTAATCGAAACAACAAGAGAACCTAGAGCTGCCAGCTTTCTTTTCCAGCGCCTCAGTGTGGCGATACAGAAGGGAAATGCGCACTGCATCCAGGGTTCCCGCCCGCCACCTGAGGAGCTGCAGGACCTCCACAACTTATGATGATCATCTTTGTACCCTAAATGTAACGCCTCTTTGTAACTAAGTTTAAATAAAACGAATATATATGTGTACATACAAAAGAATGGGGGTGGTATCTTCTTGAGATGAGGTTATCTTCAGATGATTTCGGGGCTTTGCGTCCCCGCGGCCCAGTCCTCGACCAGGCCTCCATTTTGTTACACACCCCCAGGAAGCAGCCCGTAGCAGCTGTCTAACTCCCAGGTAGATATTTACTGCTAGGTAATAGGGGCATCAGATTGAAAGAAACTTTTTGCCCATTTGTCTCTGCCTCCACCGGGGATCGAACCCGGAACCTAAGGACTACGAATCCGAAGCGCTGTTCACTCAGCTCTCAAGCGCCCTAGTGGTAGTAAAAGAAAATATTAGTGTTCAGTGTGAATCCACAAGGTCTGCTCTGAATACTCCTTATTTTCTTCTCCGAGGCTATGGGTCCTCATACTTGCACCAGAGGTGGTACCCTGATAAATTTAATATATATATATATATATATATATATATATATATATATATATATATATATATATATATATATATATATATATATATATATATATATATATATATATATATATAACAGTTTTTTTTTTTGCAGCCATGCATGACGGGCAAGGTAAGCTGTGTGGGGAGCTCTCAGGATGGAAGGTAAGGCCATACATGATGGGTAAGGTAAGCTGTGTGGGGAACCCTCTGGGTAGAAGGTAAGGCCATACATGATGGGTAAAGTAAGCTGTGTGGGGAGCTCTCTGGGTGTAAGGTAAGGCCATACATGATGGGTAAAGTAAGCTGTGTGGGGAGCTCTCTGGGTGGAAGGTAAGGCCATACATGATGGGTAAGGTAAGCTATGTGGGGAGCTCTCAGGATGGAAGGTAAGGCCATACATGATGGGTAAAGTAAGCTATGTGGGGAGCTCTCTGGGTGTAAGGTAAGGCCATACATGATGGGTAAGGTAAGCTATGTGGGGAGCTCTCAGGATGGAAGGTAAGGCCATACATGATGGGTAAAGTAAGCTATGTGGGGAGCTCTCTGGGTGTAAGGTAAGGCCATGTTTGTGAGGATTCACAGAGCTCATTCGTGTCTGCTTTCAAGATCTACATTTGTTATCTTGAGGTTCACATGCTCCAAGGAGCAGCAGGATGACGCAGACAATAACAGTCTTGAATTGAGGACCACTTTGTAGCAAGGGAACCTATGAACGGTGGAGTAAATACTGACTCAGGCGCCTGGATCAACTCAAGAGCTACGGGGCCAATAATTGGACATTTAAGTGTCACGGATCCAGTAAGTGGATACTTAAGTGCTCTGTGAATCTTGACCCACTTTTGTAATCTTCCAATAATAGATTTTCCTTTGTCGTAAATATATCAACATTAACGTTATTACTGTGAAGAACAGCAAGCGTCGTTGAGGGCTACGATAATTTATATTTATATGAAAATACAAGAAGGTGATGAAGGTTGGAGAAAGTATTGAGGCGGTGCGAATTTGATCTATACTCGGCCTCAATGTTTCCTCTTAGGAGAGATACCTGGTCTCTTTGGGGGTAGAAATAGCCTAAGCTACTCTATCCCTTTGTGATGTATCTTTTTTTCTTGTCTGAATAAACATACTTGATCTTGAACATGGTCTCTGCCTCGTTGTGAAGATAGTTTAGGAACCACCTGATGTTCTCACCTGAGTTTCCGGTCATATATGACTGTCACTCTTCCCGGAATGTTAAGGAACTAATGTCTGTAGATAAAGTATTCATTGTCTTCTGTTAAGAAGGTTTAGTAAGGCAATGATAATGTGGTGTTATAAATACACTTCGTAATTCTTCACTCATAATAATGTAAATCTCAGTCTTGCTGTGCTTCTTCTGTACTCAAAGAGAAAATCAGGAGCCGTGATGAGGATTCGAACCTATATGGTAGATGTTCCCCTCGCTCACGCCTTAGTCAGCTAGGCCACGGTATGCTCAAAAAGATTGCAACCTGGAGTTCTACTGAGCTCAAAACGGTTTCCTGAAGCTTCCAATGAAACCGAACCGGGATTTTCCCACAATCCCCCCATGCACTCTGGCTCTGTCCTCCAGGAATGTTCTACCTCTGACGCTCCTCTTTCAATACACAGACAAAACTCCAGGTTGCAATCCTTTTGACCATGTGATCTAGTCGTCTAGGGCGTGTACATGTGGGAACACCCACCGCATAGGTTCGAATCCTCATCAGTGCTCCTTCTGATTTTCTCATAGACACATCACGTCAGTGTGATTACTCTCTGGGTACTGTGCTCAAAGTCACTCGTCCACAGCAATATTATTCCAGTGGATGTTAATTATTAAACCAATCATCAAAACAACAGGTACAGTACATTAAGCAACTATTGCGGAACGTACAAAAGTGAACTGTTGCACATAAAGCCAACCCACTTCTTGTACTACTGATCTTGTAGAGGCCCCAAGGAAGACGACAACCACCGAACCTCACCTTTCCTAGGCCTAGAAGAGCACATATACTCGGTCATTAAGTAGCGTATATTAGGCCTAAGACTGGTAAAGCCGTGTATTCACTGCCACAGTTTTTAGCATGCCATTTGCACTATTCTAATAGTACAAAACATGAACTTGTAGTGGGTAAGAAAAGTCAATATTAACACGCCCAAGTAATATGTGGTATAATTATCATCATTTCTGGAGGCTGGATTGGACTAACTGTTGTGGTGTGCACACAGACCTCAACCCCACCATGCCGCCAGAGCTACGGGAGCTCTATGCACTCTACCAGATGGAGGTTCAATACACGAGTAACGAGAGAGACGGGAAGTACGGCAGCGACGTCAACCATATCTTCAGAGTGAGTCAAACTTCCTTATGTAATGACATCAATTATATCTTCAGAGTGAGTCAAACTTCCTTATGTAATGACATCAACAATATTTTCAGAGTGAGTCAAACTTCCTTATGTAATGACATCAACCATATCTTCAGAGTGAGTCAAACTTCCTTATGTAATGACATGAACCATATCTTCAGAGTGAGTCAAACTTCCTTATGTAATGACATCAATTATATCTTCAGAGTGAGTCAAACTTCCTTATATAATGACATCAACCATATCTTCAGAGTGAGTCAAACTTCCTTATGTAATGACATCAACCATATCTTCAGAGTCAAACTTCTTTATTTCACTTTAATATTTAACTTATTTCACTCACATTTCCCTCATAATAAGTAATTTTTGTGTTACTCATATCTTAAATTTTTATTTAATGAGAATTATGTCTTTTCTTCATCGAGTGTCATCTAATTCTTGGATTTTTTGATAGTGTTTATTCTCGTTCCTTAGGATACTTATTTATTTTTTAGTTAAGATCCATTAAACTTAAATTATACTTTATTACGCTATACTGTTATGTTCCAGTTCCTTTTCTAAATTACACCTTAGTGTTTCGATTCTGTTATAAACTACTGTACTGTCGCTAGAACTACCGAGACCATAATGTAATGGTCTATGTTTGTCATCATTAAGTATCACATTTTCATTGTATACATTTGTTATTTTTCTTGAACTTTCTCATTTTTGTTATCTTACTTCTCTTTTAGTATTAAGTGTTTTACCCCCTCACACTTTTTAATAATTATTTGTTAACCATTTTAAGTGTTGCGGGAAACGCTTGGCTTAATATTGGCTTCATTAGCATGCGTAACTCTTGTTCCTACAGTTGTACATTACTCCTATCTTCTCTGTACACATTCATTTAAATTAACATTTGAATTCGAATTTCAATTTGAATTTATGTAATGACATCAATCATATGACCGTAGTCAAACTATTCATTTTTAATTAGTCATGGTAATTAGTGAAAACTGAGCAAGTGAATAGTGTAATCAGTGATTGATAATATTAGTATTGACATTTAATGGTGATTTAAACGGTAATTTTTGTATATAGCTTTGAATTTGTTATATATTTTAGAAGTACCTGATCTTTTTATCAACTAGGTTCTTCATTAATGTTAATTATTGACACTTGAGCACCTTGAAGATAAGTATACTGGGAAGAGATTGTTCCTGATAACCCGTTCTCGCAAATTCGTAAAGTCAATATTGACTTATTAACTACGTGCATAGGTGATATACTAAACATAATAGATACCCTTAAAAAGATTTATAGAAAACACCGACCTTACCTAACCTTGTTAGTATCTTAAGATAAGCATCTTATTGCTTCGTAATTACAATTATTACTTAACCTATACCTATTATAGGTTAGGTAATAATTGTAATTATGAAGCAATAAGATCCTTATCTTAACATACTAAGTAGGTTAGGTAAGGTCGGTGTTTTCTATGAATCTTTTTAAGGGTATCTATTATGTTAAGTATGTCACCTATGCACATATTTAATAAGTCAATATTGACTTATTAAATTTGCGAGAACGGGTTGTCCTGATACAAGGAATGTTATGCAGTCCCCATGGTGTAGTGGTTAAGACACTCCCCTGGTATTTCGCGAGCACTTTGTCCCGGGTTCGTATCCTGGCCGGGGAGGATATACTGGGCGTCAATCCTTAACTGTAGCCTCTGTTTACCCAACAGTAAAATGTGTACCTGGTTGTTAAACGATTTGGCGGGTCGTATTCCGGGGAACACAGGATTAAGGACCTGCCTGAAACGCTTCGCGTACTTGTGGCTGTACAAGACTGTAAGAACTCCTGTATATATAATATGTACTGTATATATATGTATATGCATATATATATGTATGTGTGTATATATTATATATATATAAAATATATATATATATGTATATATATATATATATATATATATAATATATATATATATATATATATATATATATATATATATATATATATATATATATATATATATATATATATATATATATAAAATGGAAGCGAACACTCTTACGTATTCAGAGTTAAATGGCAAGTTTTTTCCTGAATGCTCTGTGTTCTCTTCTCTGAGGCTGTGGGTCCCTATAATTACACCAGAGGTGGTACTCCCCTATATTTAATATAATATTTCGTAAGCGAGTGTGGGAAAGTTAGAGAAGTTGCTCCTCACAGCTTCATTTTCGGGTTTTAATGATAAATGAGAGGATGAAAAGAACTTTAGGGAAACTGCAGAAAATTATATTAGTACACTCTGAAGGAGTTGCACAATGATTAAGGGACACAAATGCTAGATTATGATACATTGAGAATATCATGGTGATTTGTGCGTCGACAGCTGGAGTGCAGTAGCCTGCGTCCCTTGCTCACAAAGCATTCCTCAATCTTCGAGGTGGAAAGAGACGGTGGCCAACATTAATCTTCACCTGATTCCTTTGTGGATAATAACTTGAGGAAGATCAGCAGCTGTCCTTGGAGGACCTTACGCCTAATGCCTCTGGTTTACCTGGCAGTAAACATGTACCTGAACATTTACTAACTGTTAAGGGTTGCATTCTGGTGAAGGTAAGTAGTTGGCCCTTGGGGAGAGGGATCACCTTATCCAGGACGATTTAGTTGAACACCAGGTTACATTGCTTTCGGTATGTCGTGGTTAAGTGATCTAAGGCGTGTGTTTGGGAGTACATAGTGGACAGGTTCGAATACTCTACATGTCTCCTACTGATTTTCTAAATGATTCATCACATTATTATGTTTTCTTTGAGCATGTGCAAATTTAACTCTCTTCCTGTCCCCAGCAATGAAAAAAACATGTATGAGAAAGTATATTGGGGCGAGCACAGGCTCCTGTGACTAACTAGAAATGTAAAAATCGGAACTGACAGTAGATGTGTCAATTCCGAATAAAATGCGACGTATGGCGTATGCGACGATGATGATTTAGTTGCATTAGTCTTTCCTGCACTTGGTAACATTGTCCTCAGCGGGTCTGTACCAGTAGGGCTTCAGGCGCTCCTCCTCCACTGGACGACCACCCCCTCTCACCTCTGGCCTGTTTCTCTCTGTCAGCTGCTACTTTTTGTATAGTTGTACTTAACTAGATGTGCTGGTAGGCTGCAAGTGTCAGCTCCTAGACCCCGCCTGTTCCGCTGTTTTTTATTCTCTCTGTTAATTTTGGGGGATTATCTCTAACCTTAAACTTTCTTCCAGGTTCATCTTGTATTCTCTTTTGTTTCTTGACCGTTGCTGTCGTTTATCGGCATGGTTGCGTTTGGCTGCAAATGCTTTGTCCGTGGATATCCTCTGTGCCACTTTCAAGACCATCAGGTGCTGACCCGGGGTAAAAGAGCCTACTTTTGGCTTAATTTTTTACTAAAAATAAAGAGCTTCTTAGGGCTACCTCTTAATGCAGTTCACGTGTGGGGCCTGTCTGGTGTGCTGGCGAACTGCGTCTCCTGTTCCTGGCCGATCTCTACGGAGTGAAACATGCACAAGTCCCTCAGTTATGAGTACGAGAGGTTTGATCATCTGCAGGTAGGCCTGTCTGCCTCTGCTGGAATGGACGTTACTGGTCTCTCGCGCCCAATTTCCGGATCGTGAGCCATTCATGGTTTGTGCACGAGATCAGGGAGGAAACTATTCTCAATGATTTATGGGTGTCCACCGATTTGAAATACTTAGCCCTAGTTTACAGCCTCCTGCATGGTGCTCTGGTGATTTGATAGTTTGCTGCATCTGTATTGAATTGGGTCCTTTCCTTTATGTATTCTCATTTCTGGGTTTTGTTGGCTCTCACTTCGGATTGTCGAGCTGGGGTGGGTCATGTTCCTCAGAAGTGGCGTTTCTGTTCATTTGGTCCGAGCGTTTAGTCCCTGTGGCATCAATCTCCTTCAGATTTTCTAGTGTAAAATGAGACTTTGGCTTTTCCGAGTGGTTCTTTGTGATTGAGAATTAGATTCTTCATCTTGGGGCTCATCATACTCTTTGCCATATTTGCACCTCTGACAGAGATCCGTTTTCTCCTGGTGTAAGTGTCCGTGCGTCATGCTCTACACACACCTCAGTCACAACTGATACTGAGTAACAGGCGAAATCTGCAACATGGATGCCTTGCTGGAGATGGTTGTCGGCACTGATAGTGTATGCAACACACACGTATGCAACGTATGCAACACGCATCATACACGTACTACAAAACGTACTACGACTCCTGGTTCAACTTTGATGACGAGCAGACGACTGGACGACACCGCCTGGGAGCCGCCGGATCACGCTCTATTTCGCGATTTTGGATTTTGATACTGCCGTTTGGCGTTCCTATTCAACGGTTCGGATTGTTACGACGCCTGGCGCACATATCGCCTTGGGGTCAAAGGATAGTTGATAGATTTTGAACGTTCATTGGCTGGTGGGGTGACGGTGTCCGACGTCGGCTTGGCCAAGAGGTGCCGGGTGTTGGTGGGTCCTGGTGGCCTCCTGGTGTGACCCACAGACGTGGTGGCCTCCTGGTGTGACCCCCAGACGTGGTGGTCTCCTGGTGTGCCCTCAGCCGTGGTGGTCTCCTGGTGTGCCCTCAGACGTGGTGGTCTCCTGGCGTGACCTCAGCCGTGGTGGGCTCCTGGTGTGCCCTCAGACGTGGTGGCCTCCTGGTGTGACCCCCAGACGTGGTGGGCTCCTGGTGTGCCCTCAGACGTGGTGGTCTCCTGGCGTGACCTCAGCCGTGGTGGGCTCCTGGTGTGTCCTCAGCCGTGGTGGTCTCCTGGTGTGCCCTCAGACGTGGTGGTCTCCTGGCGTGACCTCAGCCGTGGTGGGCTCCTGGTGTGTCCTCAGACGTGGTGGGCTCCTGGTGTGTCCTCAGACGTGGTGGTCTCCTGGTGTGCCCTCAGACGTGGTGGGCTCCTGGTGTGTCCTCAGACCTGGTGGGCGCCCAGCTTATG